CGACGGAACCGAGTAATTTAGTGTTCTCTCTTGAGTGCTTAGTGTCTAATGGAAGACAAGCACTCATGTGAGGCATTAGATTAGGCGGTTCTGCCACATACTCCCTGTACTTGCGCCTCGCATTTCCTCTAACTAACTCTGCTTCCATCCAGATATACAGAGCTGTAGGGAGTGTATCCTGCCCGTTCCATCGTTGCATTGAACACGATAATGAATTAGCAATTAATAATCTCATCATATGTAACTGCCTCGAAGAATATAGTGAACCGAAGTACTTACCGGTAGACCATTATTAAGGGGCCTCCCAATAGACCATCGTTCCCAACACCAAACCTGGAGTAGGTAGGAGCAACCCCCAAGGTTCGCATATCCTGAGGTGCGATGGCTGGCAACGCATAGCTGTCGATATGTCCATGCCAGGACTACGCTGCCCCAGCTATACGCCGCTATGTTCTCCCACAACTGGCGTAGTATGTCAAGGAAGATCCAGCTGATGGTGTTGCCCGAGGCGTCTGGGAAGAGGAAAGCACCAAGAAAGTGCCAGAGCCACACTCGAGCGAACCTGTCAATCAGAGCCTCCTCAGTCTGTGGGTCTAAGTAATCAAAGCGCTCTGTGATCTAGGACGACGAAACATCAGAACTTTTCCTAAAATTGACCAAAGAAAATGAGACCCGATGGCTGCAGGAAAGCAATGCAAGTATTAAATAGGCTTGAATTACTCTCTTATTTTTCTTGGAAACCTCGTCGTCCGGTGGAAGAAAGCCAGTAAACTGAGCCACTAGCTCCCTCCAGTGATCGTTGTCAACTATCCCTGTCACTGGAAGTCTCCCCAACCGAAGGCCTAAAATGGCCTTCACGTCCTGCATGGTCAAGGTCATCTCGCCACAAGGTAGGTGGAATGTGTGGGTCTCATGCCTCCACCTGTTATAAGAATAGAACGACTGTTAGTTGCCTCAAATTTGTTACAAGAAAGTTTACATACAAAGAATGCACTTGCACCTGTTTACAGCTGCAGTAAGTAGTGCTGGGTCAAGGGGCGAAAGACCGTGGTTGACAACACGGATAAGCTCGAGGAAGCCGGCACGCCGTATGTACGGCGCATAACGCTCGTCCCACTAGTGCGCCCTGATGTGCGTGCGGGGCCTCAAAGTAGACAAGGCCACCTCTGTGTCGTTGTCACTCAAGATGTGTGCTCGGTGCTGGTCGTCGTACTCCACCTCAAGAATGGGGTACAACGGGTGCTGCGTGGGAGAGGCCACCCTGTTACAAATTGATAAACAAAGTGTTAGAGTATTAACAAAATTCAAATTAATATTATGTAGCATTGCAAAATTTGAACTACTTGTTATGCAATATGAAAGCACATGTATATATTCAAAGTAAAATTAACAGACATATCACGCACTAGTAACATAAACAACTTCATTAAGAATATAAGCATTTGACGAAACTTTATGAAGTCATCAAAATCGACGTATCACGCACTAGTAAATACCGACATTTGTAAACTAGTATCTATACCCAAAATCCCTAACTAAATAACTAACTATAAACTAAATAATAAATACCTAATCAATCTCTAAACCCAAAATCCTAACCTCGAACCTAAAAACTACCTACGTAAATCACAAACAAATTCACTAACCCAATTATCCTAAATCACTAACTATCCTAAATCACTGACATCATAAATCAATAACAATCATAAAACCCTAACTATCCTATATTACTAATTATCCTAAATCACTAATTATCCTAAAACAATAATAATCAAAATAACATGAAATCGAGAGGGAGGTACCTTAGGAGCTGGCAGCCTTGATGCGCCGACGTTTGTGGCGCTGGCGGCGGGCGATGCGCGACGGTGGGCGGGCGGGCAAGGGTGCGTGCGGGTGGGGGGGGGGCTCGCTGGCGATATTTCTTTGGCCCAGCCGCGCCAAGATCGGTAGTGCGGCAGAGCTCTGCCACGTCAATGATCGCGATTCCGGTCGTCGCCATCGTCAGACCTCTGCCGCGCCACTATGCATGGTGCGACACAAGCATTTGGCCACGCCAGAGCAATAGGCGCGGCCAAAAGTGTTAGTTTAAAAAAACTGACCGTGTTAGATTTAAAATTAGTTTTCAAAAAGTGTTAAAATTAAAAAAAAATCTCTACGGGCGGACACTCCGCCGGTGAAGTTTCTAACCCTTGCTCAAATGTGCCAACCACCAAGTGTATCACCTTGTGCACATGTGTGTTAGCATATTTTCACAAACATTTTCAAGGGTGTTAGCACTCTACTAGATCATAAATGCATATGCAATGAGTTAGAGCATCTAGTGGCACTTTGATAACTACATTTCGATACGAGTTTCACCCCTCTTAATAGTACGGCTATCGATCCTAAATATGATCACATTCACTAAGTGTCTCGATCACTAAAACAAAATGGCTCCTACCATTTATACATTTGCCTTGAGCCTTTTGTTTTTCTCTTTCTTCTTTTCAAATCCAAACACTTTGATCATCACTATGGCATCACCATCATCATGTTATGATCTTCATTTGCTTCACCACTTGAAATGTGCTACCTATCTCATGATCACTTGATAAACTATGTTAGTACTTAGGGTTTCATCAATTCACGAAAACCAAACTAGAGCTTTCAATTGTCCTGTTCTGCAGCACTACTTCAAGAGTACTTTTTAGCGAACGAATATTGTTTTTTTCTCTCACAACAAGACAGAATAAGCATTAGGATAAGTAAAATTTCCGCCAGACGAACAGGGCCAATATTTTTTTATAAACTTAATTAAACTTAAAAGAATTGACCGCCATACATTTATTTTGGGATAAATGGAGTATTTATTTATGAACTACTAGTGGGGTACTGTGGTTCCTTTAGGTTGTCTCCAACAGGAGATCTATTGTAGAACCCAATCTCAAAATAGGTCTCCAATAGAGTATTTATATGGAAGACCCATTTTGAGTGTTAGAGAGACGTAACCTAAATCTGAGTGTCCTCTTTTCTAGAGATCCATTTACAAAAAGAGTTGTCTTTTAGGTCTGGTTGTTGGAGAAGACTAAAAATAGATATTAAACTCTTTGTCTGTAGCGCTACCTAAAATATAAGAACGAATATATCTTATATTTTGGGTCGTAGTTGTTGACACAGTCTTGTAGGAGTATATTGTGAAAGGGTCCACACGGAAGCGACCGAAGCACTCCCGAGTCCCGACACAATGACGCAGCACCATGTGACAGGACCTCCCCATCCGTCCGTCCGTTCTTCCCACAGACGGCCGATCCAGCCTCGTATCGCGCGGCCTGCGGAACATTTAGCGCTGGGCCCCACCCAAACCCTTTCCAGCTCCATCCGGCACTGAGCCGCCTCCTCCACCGACGGGTGGGCTCAGCTCCATTACTGGGCCCACATGTCTGCGGGGAGCGCGGCACACTCCCCACCCGGCCGGTCCCGGCCACTAGCGGAAGCATCTCGCTGAAAGCAAGGGCCAAGGGGGCGCGCCCCCCCGGGCTCGGGACCCGAGGGGCATCGATCGATGCCTTGCTTACCCGCCGGGCCCGCCGGGACGGCCTGCCGCTGCCGTGTGGGCCCAAGAGCGGGGACAAGGACTGCGGCACTGAGGGTGGGGTGTGGGCCCAGGGCGGAGTCAAGCGGGTGTAATCGCGGTCTCTGGCGGCCTCCGTGTCTTCTTCCTTTTCATCGTTCCACTCCCCACACCCTCTGTTCGTGGCGGCCTCCGCTCCTCCCCCCTCTCCCCCGTCTGGTGGTGGTTGCGCGGCGCCGCTCCTCCCTCGTGGTGGCGGTGGAGGACTAAGGTCGGGGATCGACGGTTTCTTCATCCGTTGGGTAAGTAATCCGTGCTTCCGGGTTTGTGGATTTCCTTGTTCCGTGCCCACTCGGATCCAAACATTTCTTTCTCCATTCATTCAGTCTGTTGTGGGGTTCGTGTGCCACGTGGTGCCCCCACGAATCCAACCCGACCCGTCCTTCCGTCCGCGGTTGGTTTAGGGTTTTCTTGGTGCTGTTCTTCAGCGTGGGAGATCGATCGAACGATCTCGGTAGGCGCCCCTCGCGCGGTACTAACTTGTTGGTGCTCAATTGAGGAGTGGGACTGGATGGTGACGGGTGCAGTTTCTTTTCAAAAAAAAAAAATCTTGGATTTCATCCATTTTGAGTTTTCCACTCTGTTACCAGTTTTCAGGAACACATCGAGCCAAAATCAGGAGAAACCTATTCACGTATGGAATAAATCATCTTTGCCTCTCCCCTCTCCTTTCGCTGCCTTCCTATTAAAGAAAATAATAGTGGGAAGAAAGGCATGAGATTTGTTTGGAAAGTGGGTTGGAGAAAAGCTTTAGTAGTTTCTGTTGCCTGAGGCAAAGTTTAACAATTTCTATCGTTCCAGTTCACATCTTGGTCCTCATAAGACATGTGAAGAGTTTACTTACTTGACTCGTTACGAACAACTGCACGAAAATACGCATAGTTGTATTATGTTTCTTGGAATAATCTGTTCACTGCAAAGAGAATTATTATAGCTGCTTATCTGGAAAGTTTTTTTTAAAAAAAAAAAAATATATTCTTGGCTACTCAATTGAGTCTTCTCGGTTTTAGATTTTATATGGCTCAGATCATAGATTCTTATCGACGTAGTTGTATTGGGTGGTCTAATTGGATCATGTAAGTTGTTTTCAAATTTATATGATTATATCTGTCTAGTGGAGCTTTGTGCTCAGATCTTGGAAATTTTGTCGGTTTTGCAGTTGGGAGGCGATACATTTAGAAGAAATGTCAGTTGGCAGGCAATCATACTGGTGTTACCAATGCCGACAGAGGGTGAGGCCTCGTGGCCGGGAGATGGTGTGTCCCTACTGTGATTCTGGGTTTGTGGCTGAAATGGATGATGTAGATTCTCTCATGAGCCACTTCGTTGGGATGGATCCTGATTTCCATCGTGACCCAAGGTTTGGGATCATGGAGGCGATCTCGCCGTGATGCGGCATGGTATGGCAGGGATGAACAGGGAGGTTGATGTCAGAGGAAGGCCAAACATCTTTTCGGACCTGGAGATGGAGTTTGATTCAGGGCCATGGCTGCTCTTCCGTGGTCAGCTCCCTGGTCATCTCACGGAGGACAATGGTTTCGATGTTTTCATCAATGGACGACGTGGTGTTGGCATGAGGAGGGCCAACATTGCAGACTACTTTGTTGGGCCTGGATTGGATGATCTTATCGAGCAATTGACTCAGAACAATCGTCGAGGACCACCACCTGCTGCGCAGTCCTCGATCGATGCTATGCCCACAGTTAAGATCACTCAGAGGCATCTCAGTGGGGATTCGCACTGCCCTGTCTGCAAGGAGAAGTTTGAGTTGGGATCGGAAGCAAGAGAGATGCCATGCAAGCATTTATACCACTCCGATTGCATAGTTCCTTGGTTAGAGCAGCATAATTCCTGTCCCGTTTGCCGTTATGAGCTCCCAACACAGGGTTCTATTACAGGAGCTAGCTGCTCACGCACAAGATCAACCAACCAAAGCCAGAGCTCAAGTAGTTCAAGCAGCAGCGGGAGAACCAATGGGCGTCAAAGGAGAAGGAACCCGTTCTCGTTCCTGTGGCCTTTCCGCTCATCAAGTTCTCGCTAGATTAGTCTCTGGTAACCCTGCTCAGGTTTGAAATACTGTTTTAGTCAATACGCTGGTCTAATGGGCCTTAATGTGTGGGATCTTTAGTACCCAATCTGTACTGTATGGTTTGTTAATGATCGCCACATAATGTTTCTTGTTGCAAGTATATTATTTTACCACGGTATCATCATTTGCTACTCGATTTTGTTTACTTGTGAGCTTGCAAACAATTATAAGCCTAATGGCTGTTCAACTTCTTTTTAGAAGAGGCTACAGTTATGATTGCCCATGTTCGGCTGATTGTTTACAATTATTCATAAAGTCCACAGTTACCAGAAAAGATAAAGATGACGACTATGATCTGATAATAGTGAAGCCAGAAACCTGACGGTTCGTTTACCATCTGCTCTAGCACCTCTTGGTTAGATGTTTGTGCTTTCATTTTCGAAAGATTTGTCCCTGTGAGAAAAATAAATATATGGACATAATTGACTGGAAAAATACTCACCACATTGGAGTCAATGCTATTTGGTTGGTTTATCTGCCGGCTACCGTTTACCTAGCTTCCCTTAGCCAGTTGTTGCTTTGTTTTCACCTCATGGTACCTTGTGCATGCCAACCTACTCAGGGTTATATTAATAATTAAGCCAATGGCAGGCATTTGTATGGATCTTGTATTGAAATTGGGCGTTGTGTCGATTTCTGTATTGAGCTACTTGCAGTTCACTGATTTTTTTTTTTTGGTTAAACTTGCGTTGATTATGACCCTTCTGATGACTTACCCAATGGTGGATGTGCTTCTGTGATGGATGTCTCGTTTGAAAACTGGTAGCTGATCCGTGATGCATACAGATACAGCCAGCATTCGAAAACCACTGCTGAACTTGACGCGGTGTAACCCTTCAATGAGATCACTCGAACTCAATTTCTGTGTTTTTTACTCTACTATACCTGCCAGTGCGTGAGTACTACGCTAATCACTTTGGATGGTTATCATCATCAGATACGAAAAAGGTGATGACAATGACAAGCTGTTTTTGTCAGGTCTAACAACTGTTGCAGTTGGTGCTTCTTTCTCTGTCACTATATATTATATGTTCTTATTCTTATCCCAATGGTAGCATAGCAGACGGTAGACTAGACTAGAAATACCGGCCGTCGTCTTCGTGTCCACGGTTTCGCTAGAGTTTATCTCCAAGTGGACTTTCGCCGGCATGTGCTGATGTGGTGGCGCGAGGCAACCCTGAATTTCCAGCCATGGGGCAGGGCAGAGCAGTTGATGGAGGACGCACGAATGAGAATGATTCGATGGCGTGTACCTGTCCTGATTCGTCGCGGCTCGTTGGTGCCTTGCCGGGTCCTTATCCTCGAATTCCTGCGAAACTTCCGCCGTTTTGCTGTCATCGCCCCAGGGGGACTGCTTGTGGTGACCACGAGAGGAGAGCACGTTGCTGTCCGCCCAATTTTTCCCACTGGGGCTGGGGTTGTGATTGCGCAGCCTGCTGGACGCGCAGGCGTTCCTGGGCTCGGAACGGAACCCATGGCCCATGGGATTGGGAATGGGCCACCAGTCATACAGGCGCGGCGCGGCGCGGATGCACAGTAACCATCTGTGGCGTACACGGCATAGCTGTAGACCACGGGTGTCGAACGATCGCGGGCAATAGCAAAACGCCACGCAGGTGCAAAAAAAAAACACACATTTAGCTTACCAGCTCCTACTCTTAACATAGTGTTTTTTTCTCACAACAAATCAGCATAAGCCAAATTTCAACAATATCAACCCTTCGACAAAGGAGGCAACGGCACACGGCAGGTACTAGTACAATAACAGCATACAACATGTTCGTTTGGCTGTGACTTATCGTAAACGATCATAAATTTTCAGTCGGAATAGTATTTTTCTCTCACACAAACCAGCCAGCAGTACTTCTTTACGAACCAGCAACGAAACGAACCAGCGAACTGAACATGCTGATAAGCTATAAAATATATTCCATGGTAAATATAACGATATTTATTTTAGATCATACTACTTAATTTGTATAAATTTGGATGAAACTCAAAATAGTTACCCGTAACTACGTAGAATTGTTAATTTTATTCTTTCCAGGGCTAAGAGAGTAACGTATAAATGATTGAAACTGCTACCATACTGTAAGTTTATTTGTTTGTTAAGTGTTAGATTCAAGTCAAGATCCATGTCTGTCCTCGCTCTTCTTCTGCGCCTTGGGGTCAGACGGGAAGTTTTCAAATCTGAACCCAACAAGGGCCAAGCATCGAAAACATGTTTTTATCAAGCCAAATGACTACAACTCCGAATGCTGCCGAAACTGAAGTGTGCAGTGCTTTTCTGGGCTCTTTCTTAGGAATTGCTTGTAAAATACACCAAAATGCATATCCTTCGTGATACTGATAGCCAGGTCAGGACACGCACCTTCGGTCCCGCTGGAAACTGGAGTACTGCCCGCTCTAACTGTAGTGGCTGGTGTATTGAATTTTTTTTGGAAATGTAGTGTGTGCGAGTTGTCTATTTTAAGAATAGATTGAATCTATTCGGCTACACTTTAGAATATTTTTAGTATTTTTTTATAAATAAGAAAAGGTGTACGATCTCGACGAATTACTTCTGAATAACTTTAGAAATCATATGGAAGAACTATAGCATTTCATGATTCATTGGTAAATTTACTTTGATTCTCTGTAACACGGTTAAAGCCCGGGTAAAAAGGATACTCTTTCTACAACTATATTAGTATTAGTCTCGAAATGCTTTAAATGAGAAATAAATCTTTGCGCCTCTGTCTACAGTATAGAAGATGGAAATGGCGATATTTTTTTTATAAACTCCCCTGGCGGGGGACGACCGCGATTCTACCGTCCCTCCCACCATCCTCCAGAGCACCAAAGTCTCATAAGACTTTGGCTTCACCAAACCCATTGAATCTGTATTTGCTCGTCAGTGTTTCAAGGACATCGACTCGTGTATATTCCGAGGTTTTCCATCGGTAGACGGTAGCGCAAAACGGGATTTTTGCTTAATTTCCCTAGCCGAACAGAGCAACTGCAAATCGCACAAAACCCGAACACGAGCCGCCGCCCTGCTAGGGCTACAAAAGAGCAGCAGAACATAATGGAATAAAAAAACATGGCTGACGAGAGATTCTGACTTACTAAACCATGAGGAGCTGACAGTGATCATATCACAGCAACAGAGGTAAAGAAAAATGCAACAAAACTGTGGCATTGCAGAAATACCAGAGCCATAGAAAACTGTGACATTACTGAAACAGCCTGGGCTATGAACTATTGCCATATAGCATGCCAGCAAAGATGACACCGTGTTTGAATGACCTTGACAGAAGAAGTAATCATGATAACATCGTCATCTAAGCACATGGTCCACAGATAACACTCCAGTCGCATTCCATAGCACTCGAAAGGAAAATTGGTTCGACAGAAACAACACTCTAATTTGTCAGATCCATAATGGCAGTGACAATGTCCCCATTAGAAGCCTTGAGGGCCTTGATAGCCTTGGGCCTCGAAACAGATGCCTGGGTCATCACCAGCTCAATGTCCTTGGCCTCAACACCAGTTTCGTCGACCTCCTCCTCGGTGTCTTCCTGGCCTGGGCCAGATGTCTCTGGGCTCGAGATCATCTGGCTCAAGTCAGGAGCCTTGAACTGTTCTGCGGCCTGGGTCTGCAACTGGGAGCTGAGGTCCTCGATCTTGGCCTCACCGAATATGACGTAGGTGTCCGAATTCGGGCTCTTGAACACATCTGGCTTGGAGATGACAAACAGTATCTGGAAAGAAAATATATATCTGGTTAGCCGGACAACACAAAAGATATACCAGTTTGCAAGATCTGAGTGAATGGTGGTGAATTACATTCTTGCTTTTCTTCACAGTGACACGGCTGACACCAGTGATGGACTTCATACCAAGCTTCAGCATGGCCTTGCGGCTCTTCTTCTCACTCCTGCTTTGCTTTGACTTGCCACTGGCATCCCCTTCTTGTCCTGAAGATGAAAATGTGACCAATACTTGTCAGACACAGGTGTTGAAATTGTTCCACACACCAGAGAAAGCAGACAGCAAATTCAAAAGGTACAGGGAAACAGGAAAACTATCTACAAGCAGTCACAAGCTAAGCATAACCTCAAACTTAACAAAATCCACTCTGGACCTTCATACATTGATACAAAAGTCAATAACAGGCTAAAAATACACAGAAATATGATACGTCAGATATGGGGAAATCCTGCTCACGATAAACTTCACTCTACACTCCAAATCACATTAACATATCAATTTACAGTGCCAGAAACAAAACTATACATGCCCTTTGCTCTATTATGTACAGCAGTTCACGATTAAGGATCCAGAACCACTAGAAGTGCCAAATCATTTCACAGAAATGAGACAGACAGGTGAAGGGTGACAACAAATTATAAACATTACAAGCTTAAGATATCAAGACATTTCTTTCGTCACTATTACACATATTATCAACCTGAATAGCACTAAAGAGACATTCTCAGATCATTGTAACTCACCATCGAGTTCATCATCATCCTTGTCATCATCATCGTCGTCCTCATCGTCATCCTCCTCATCCTCCACCACAACCTCCTCTGCCTGTCCATGGCATTCAACAGATAAGTATGCCGGTGTCACACATGTCAGAATGTTGATGGACAACAGTACCACGAAAACATATTGCAAGACGGCAAGCGAGATTAAAAGGATCACGCCGTCCCGCGTAAAAAAAAACAATAACAATCCGCAAAAGACCAGAACTATCAGAACCAACCATTTCCTCACCGTCCATAATAATAAAATAATAAATAATATAAAAAGATGGAGCTTTACATGATCCAGCAAGAACCACCTACGAAATTAATCTACTTCAGGTTCGTGGATCTGCAGCTAACAATAAAACATCAAATCTCTTTTGGATCACAGGATCCATAGCCTATGCGACACCGATTCCCCTTCTGATTCGGACCGGT